GGTAGGCGTTAAATATTGACTGACAGGAGCCGACGCGCCTTGAGAAGGCTGGTTACCTCATCTCGCCATCAGACCATAACGAATCTGTGTTTGGAGATGCGAGCAGCCAGAGGCAATCCTATAAGTTTTTTTAGGACACGTCGAGAGCTGTATGCAATGAATTTTCACAGAAGAGTTGCACCCCACAAGCCATTGATAACAAAAATAAATACACACCGTCGATTAGCATATGGTAAGGCACGCTGATCAATGAAAACCAGTCCTGTGGAGCGACGAATTAAACTACACGTTCTTCCAGTTTGATGGACGTGTTTAGGTATGGAGGATGCCTGGAGAACGCTTATTACCTGAGAGTGTTGTCCCAACAGTGAAGTTTGGATGTGGCGGTATCATGGTCTGGGGGTGTTTCCAGTGAACCTAGTCCATACCACGAGAAGCACCCCAAGACTATGATACCGCCAGGACCTAGTCCATGCCACGAGAAGCACCCCAAGACCATGACACCGCCAGGACCTAGTCCATACCACGAGTCGCAGTGCATGGATCCATGAATAATGATTTCTACATTGATGTTCTGAACAATTCTGTGTGTCCTACATTGTGGCAATTTTATGGTACAGGCCCTTACACCTTCCAACATTGTAACGCTCCATGTCACAAAGCAAGGATTGTGAGCGCGTGGTTCGAAGAAAATAACATCGGAACATTGCAGTGGCCAGCATAGAGCCTCGGTCTCAACCCGACAGAACATCTTTTGGATTAAATGGAACGCAGAATTAGGGCAAGACCAAGACAGTCTTCCACGACGTATTGAAGCAGTCATTAAGGCCATAGGCGGGCCAACACGCTATTAATTTCTTGTAATAAAGACAAGTTTTATTCATAACTAATAGTGTCCCATGACATTTGGCACATTAAGCAGTTATTGCATAGAGTGTACGATAATTATCTTTTTTTACTTTGTTTAACGCAAACTAGAGTTTATTATGAAATTGTCATGATATAAAGGACTGTTTAGTTTAGATATTAGTGATTAAAAACAGTTAAAAGCAAACGACTGTAAGAAGTTTTGTAAATAATTCATTGATGTTGAGACTATTGAACGTCGCGTGCAATACATTGACGTCGAAAATATAGGAGGCGGACAGACGATTAGGTTATAAAAATATAAAGAGCGTAACACAAGCGGAAGCAGCAGACAGATAACAGCAGAAGAAAGTAAAGTTACAAAAGGAAAAGTTAACTACCATAGAAGTGATAGGCCTAATGTCTAACGTTTAATATGTTAGAGTAAGACTAACAGTAGAAAAGAGGATAAGTAAAATAATTTATTCCGTCAAAGCGTAATTCTGAAGTAATTGTATCATGCTGAGTGCACTTTGACAAAAGAAACAGAGGATCTTTAGAAGAAAGAAGACCAAACGATTACGGTAACTCGCGCCACAATTGTAAGTGAATCACGCACAGAATGCAAGTGCGATAGTAATAAAGAAGA